CAATGGGAACAACACCGGGAATTACAGCCGGAGTCGCGGTGTGTTGACCCACCGTCACCGAGTGCACCTGGAACAACACCCGGAAAAACATTGGGAATTACAGCCGGAATTACGGTGTGCCGATCCACCATCACCAAGCGCACCTGGAATTACAACACCGGGAAAAACAACGGGAATTACAGCCGGAATCACGGTGTGCTGATCCACCATCACCGAGCACACCTGGAAAAACACCGGGAAAAACACCTGGAAAAATGGGAATGAGAGCGGGAATCACAGCCTGCTGCTCCACCGTCAGCGAGTGCACCTGGGAATGGGAACAACTGGAAAAACAATGGGAATTACAGCCGGAATCACAGTGTGCTGATCCACCGTCACCAAGCGCACCTGGAAAAACACCGGGAAAAACAATGGGAAAAACAATGGGAATTACACCAGGAATCACAGCCTGCCGCTCCACCGTCACCGAGCGCACCTGGAATTAAAACAGCGGGAATGACAGTCGGGAAAAATGGGAATTACAGCGGGAACTGCGACTGTTCTGATCCAGCAGCAGCGAGCGCACCGGGAAAAACACCGGGAATGACAGCGGGAATGGGACTGGGAATCTCGGTGTGCTGATCCACCGTCAGCCAGCACACCTGGAAAAATGGGAATAACAGCAGGAATGCCGGGAATTAGAGCGGGAATCAGAGAGGGAGTCAGAGGTGTTGTGCACCTGGAATTCCAGGGAAAAACAGGGAAAATGGATAAAAAACGGGAATGGGGCCGGGAATTGGGGGTGCTGTGACTGGCTGTGCGCTGCTGGAATTCCAGAGAAAACCGGGAAAAACGGGAATAACGTCCTTCCCAGCAGGCATTTCCTCGATATTCCCGCTATTCCCGTTATTCCCGATCCCTTCGTTCCCGTTATTCCCGCTATTTCCAATCCCGTTATTCCCATTTTTCCCGACGTTCCCGGGAATGAGGGCGGGATTTGGGGCTGCTCCGATCCGCCGGCAGCGACGGCTCCCGGCAAAACCGGAATTCCCAAAAAACCCCCTGGGAATCGGGGTTCCCAATCAAAACAAATCCCGATTCCAGGATTCCCAATCACCATTCCTGAGGTTCCCGGGGTCATTCCCGGGGTCATTCCCATTGTTATTCCTGTTGTTATTCCTGGGGTTGGTCATTTCCATTGTTATTCCCAGGGTCATTCCCGTTGTTATTCCTGTTCCCATTCCCGTTGTTCCCAGATTCCCGCTGTTGTTCCCGCTGTTGTCATTCCCGCTGTTGTTCCCAGGTTCCCGCTGCTGTCATTCCCGTGGTTGTTCCCGCTGTTCCCGCGGTTGTTTCCCAGATTCCCGTGGTTGTTCCCACTGTTGTCATTCCCGTTGTTCTTTCCCAGATTCCCGCGGTTGTTTCCCAGATTCCTGTGGTTGTTCCCGCGGTTGTTCCCCAGATTCCTGTGGTTGTTTCCCAGATTCCCGCTGTTGTTCCCACTGTTGTCATTCCCGCTGTTGTTCCCAGATTCCTGCTGTTGTTCCCACTGTTGTCATTCCCGCTGTTCTTTCCCACATTCCTACAGCTGTTTCCCAGATTCCTGTGGTTGTTTCCCAGATTCCCACGGTTGTTTCCCAGATTCCCACGGTTGTTTCCCAGATTCCCGCAGTTGTTCCCACTGTTCCCGCTGTTGTTTCCCAGATTCCCGTGATTGTTTCCCAGATTCCTGTGGTTGTTTCCCAGATTCCCGCTGTTGTTTCCCAGATTCCCGCTGTTGTTCCCACTGTTGTTATTCCCGCGGTTGTTTCCCAGATTCCCGCGGCTGTTCCCGTCACTCACGTCCTTGTGCCGGTGGAATCCGATCTGCCCCACGTCCATGTCCGGAGTTTTCCGCAGGTTGCTCCAGGGGGTGTAAACAACCGACACTGAGCTCAGCTTGCAGCCTGGGAACAGCGGGAACGACAGCGGGAACGGGGACAGCGGGAATGGGGACAGCGGGAATGGGAACAGGAATAACGGGAATGGGGACAGCAGGAATGGGAACAGCGGGAATGGGAATAACAATGGGAATGACAATGGGAATGACGATGGGAATAACAATGGGAATGACAATTGGAATGACAATGGGAATGACAATGGGAATGACGATGGGAATAACAATTGGAATGACAATGGGAATGACAATGGGAATGACGATGGGAATGACGATGGGAATGACAACAGGAACAACAACAGCGGGAATAACAATGGGAACAGCGTGAATGACGGGAATGACAAGGGGAATCGTGGGAATAACAACAGTGGGAATGGGAACAGCGGGAATGGGGACAGGAATAACGGGAATGGGAACAGCGGGAATGACAACAGCGGGAATGGGAATAACAATGGGAATGACGATGGGAATGACGATGGGAATGACAATGGGAATGACAACAGGAACAACAACAGCGGGAATAACAATGGGAACAGCGTGAATGATGGGAATGACAAGGGGAATCGTGGGAATAACAACAGCGGGAATGGGAATAACAACGGAAACAACAATGGGAATGACAACGGGAACAACAACAGCAGGAATAACAACAGCATCGGGAATGACAACAGGATAACAACAGCGGGAATGAGAACAGTGGGAATGGGAATAACAATGGGAATAACAATGGGAATAACAATGGGAATAACAACAGTGGGAATGACAGCGGGAACAACGGGAACAGCGGGAATACAGGAACGGGAATGGGAATAACACCGGCACGGTTGTTGTGGAATAACAGCGGGAATAATGGGAATAACAATGGGAATAACAACGGGAATGGGAATAACAACAGCGGGAACGACAACAGCAAGGGGAACAACGGGAATTATGGGAATAATGGGAATAACAAGGGAACAGCGGGAATGAACAGCCAGGAAAACAGGAGGAAACAGCCAGGAAACAGCGGGAAGAACAACCGGAAAAATCAGCGGGAAAAATGGGGAAAAACAGTGGGAGAAATGAAGGAAAAATGGGGGGGAAAATGGGAAAAGAGGTGAGGGGGAAGAGCGGGAAAAATGGGAAAAAAAAGAGGGAAAAATGGGAAAAAAGAGGGAAAAATGGAAAAAAAAGAGGGAAAAATGTTAAAAAAAGAGGGAAAAATGGGAAAAAAGAGGGGAAAATGGGAAAAAGAGGGAAAAATGTGAAAAAAAGAGGGAAAAATGTTAAAAAAAGAGGGAAAAATGGGAAAAAAGAGGAAAAATGTGAAAAAAGAGGGAAAAATGGGAAAAAAGAGGGAAAAATGTGGAAAAAAGTGGGAAAATGTGGGGGAAAAAATAGGAAAAAATGGGAGAAGAATGGGAAAGGCGGGAAAAATGGGAGAAAGGAGAAAAATAGGAAAAAATTGGGAAAAAGGCAAATAAAAGGCGGGAAATGGGAAAAGAGCAGGAAAAACGAAGGAGAATTGGGAAGAAAGTGGGAAAAATGGTAAAAATTGTGAGGAAAAATGGGAAAAAAAGAGGGAAAAATGTGGAAAGAAGAGGGAAAAATGGGAAAAAAGAGGGAAAAATGGGAAAAAAGAGGGAAAAATGTGAAAAAAAGAGGGAAAAATGGGAAAAAAGAGGGAAAAATGGGAAAAAAGAAGGAAAAATGGGAAATAAGTGGGAAAATGTGGGGGAAAAAATAGGGGAAAATGGGGAAAAAAATGGGAGAAGAATGGGAAAGGCGGGAAAAATGGGAGAAAGGAGAAAAATGGGAAAAAAATCAGGAAAAAGAGGGAAATAAAAGGCGAGGAATGGGAAAAGAGCAGGAAAAACAGGAAAAACGAAGGAGAATTGGGAAAAAAGTGGGAAAAATGGGAAACATTGTGAGGAAAAATGGGAAAAAAAGGGAAAAATGGGAAAAAAGAGGGAAAAATGGGAAAAAAGAGGGAAAAATGGGAAAAAAGAGGGAAAAATGTGAAAAAAAGAGGGAAAAATGGGAAAAAAGAGGGAAAAATGTGGAAAAAAGAGGGAAAAATGTGAAAAAAAGAGGGAAAAAATGGGAAAAAAGAGGGAAAAATGGGAAAAAAGAGGGAAAATGTGGGGGAAAAAATAGGAAAAAATGGGAGAAGAATGGGAAAGGCGGGAAAAATGGGAGAAAGGAGAAAAATGGGAAAAAAGTTGGGAAAAAGAGGGAAATAAAAGGTGGGAAATGGGAAAAGAGCAGGAAAAACGGAGGAGAATTCGGAGAAAAGTGGGAAAAATGGGAAAAATTGTGAGGAAAATTGGGAAAAAAAGAGGGAAAAATGTGAAAAAAAGAGGGAAAAATGGGAAAAAAAAGTGGGAAAAATTTAAAAAAGTGGGAAAAATTTCCCGGGATTCAGGACAGATCCTGACCCCTTCCCGAGGGTTTTCCCGAGGGTTTTCCCGAGGGTTTTCCCGGTGTTTTTCCGGGATTCTGGGATACCTTGGATGCTGTTGGCCTTCACCAGGTGGGCGCAGTCGCTCAGAACTTCCTTGGGAATGTCATCCATGGTCTGGCCCTGGCACGGAATTCCCAAATTCCCTGAGATCCCGGATCGCCCGGCCCGCAATTCCCGAGAGATTTCACGGCTTTTCCCAGGGTTTCCCAGAGAATATCCCAATTTTCCCGAGATTTCCCAAGGAATATCCCACTTTTCCCAAGGTTTTTCCTGATTTTCACGAGGTTTCCCAGGGAAAATCCCAATTTTTCCAGGGTTTCCCCAGCGATATCCCGTTTTTCTCAAGATTTCCCAAGGGATATTCCCACTCTTCCCAAAGCTTTTCCCATTTTTCCTGAGGCTTCCCAGGGAAAATCCCGCTTTTCCTGAGGCTTCCTAGGGAACAGACCGGCTTTTCCAAAGGTTTTCCCCAAATCTTCTGAAGTTTCCTGAGGTTTTTCCCGCTTATTCCTGAGCTTTTCCCCACTTTTCCCGAGGTTTTTCCTGTTTTCCCAAGGATTTTCCCACTTTTCCCAAGGATTTTCCCATTTTTTCTGGGGTTTTTCACACTTTTCCTGAGGTTTTTCCCGCTTTTCCCAGGGTCTTTTCCCGAGCTTTTTTCTGCTTTTCCCAAGGTTTTTCCTGTTTTTTCCCAGGGTTTCTCCTGCTTTTCCTGGGGGTTTTTTCCCCGCTTTTCCCAAGGTTTTTCCCACTTTTCCAGGGATTTTTCCCATTTTTCCAGGGATTTTTCCTTCTTTTCCCGGGGTTTTTCCTGCAATTTCCCAAGGTTTTCCCACTTTTCCGGGTTTTTCCCGGGACTCACCTTGTGCAGGCGCAGGTAGACGTGAGCTGAGGAGAGCTTGTCCACGTGGAACCTGCGGAATGCCGGGAATTCCAGAGAATTCCAGAGAATTCCAGGGAATTCCGGGGGATTCCGGGGGATTCCGGGGGATTCCCACTCCCCCCCAGCCCGGCCCCGAATTCCAGATTCCCAAAGCCATTCCCGGGGATTTCCTGGGAATCGCCAATCCCGGGCTGGGGGATGGGAGGAGAATTCCTGGGAATGTGGAAGGGAAAAATGGGAAAAAATGGGGAAAAAAAGGGGAAAAAATGGGGGAAAAATAGGAATAAAAATGGGGAAAAAAATGGGGAAAATGGGGAAAAAATGGGGAAAAAATGGGGAGAAAATGGGGGAAAAAATGGGGAAAAAAATGGGGAAAAAATGGGGAAAAAAATGGGGAAAAAATGGGGAAAAAAAATGGGGAAAAAATGGGGAAAAAAAATGGGGAAAAAATGGGGAAAAAAAATGGGGAAAAAATTGGGAAAAAATGGGGGAAAATGGGGAAAAAATGGGGAAGAATGGGGAAAAATGGGGGAAAATGGGGGGAAAATGGGGGAAAATGGGGGGAAAATGGGGAAAAATGGGGGAAAAATGGGGAAAAAATGGGGAAAAAATGGGGAAAAATGGGAAAAAATGGGGAAAAAATTGGGAAAAAAATGGGAAAAAATGGGGAAAAAATGGGGAAGAATGGGGAAAAAAATGGGGGAAAATGGGGAAAAAATGGGGAAAAATGGGGAAAAAATGGGGAAAAAATGGGGAAAAAATGGGGAAAAAATGGGGAAAAAATGGGGAAAAATGGGGGGAAAATGGGGAAAAATGGGGAAAAATGGGAAAAAATGGGGAAAAAATGGGGAAAAATGGGAAAAAATGGGGGAAAATGGGGGAAAAATGGGGAAAAAATGGGGAAAAATGGGGAAAAATGGGGGGAAAATGGGGAAAAAATGGGAATAAAAATGGGGAAAAATTGGGAAAATTGGAAAAAATGGGGGAAAAATAAAAAATTGAAAAAAATGGGGAAAATACGAAAAAATAAGGAAAAATGGGAAAAATGGGGAAAAACTGGAGAAAAAAAATGGGGGAAAATTGGGGGAAATGGGAAAAAATGGGAAAATTTGGGAAAAACAAGGAAAAAAAGAAAAATGGGGAAAAATGAGGAAAAAAGGAAAAGTGAGGTAAAAAATGGGGAAAAAATGTGGAAAAAATGGGGGAAAAATGAGGAAAAAATGAAAAATGGGAAAAAATGGGAAATAATAAGGAAAATGGGAAAAATGGGGAAAAAATAGGAATAAAAATGGGGAAAATGGGGAAAGTGGGAAAAAAATGGGGGAAAAGGAGAAAAAATAAGGAAAAAATGGGAAAAATTGGAAAATATAGAAAAAAGAAAAATGGGAAAAAAGTGTGGAAAAAATAAGGAAAAAATGGGAAAAATTGGGAAAAATGAGGAAAAAGTATGGAAAATGGGAAAGAAAATGGGGGAAAAAAGGGAAAAATGCAGGAAAAGGAAAAAAAATGAAAAATGCGGAAAAAAGTGGGGAAAGTGGGAAAAATGTGGGAATAAAGCAGGAAAAACAGGAAAATTGGGAAAAAAGGGGGAAAACGGGAGAAAAAATGGGGGAAATGTGGGAAAAATGGGAAAAAATTGGGAAAAAATGGGGGGAAAATGGGGAAAAAAGGAAAAATGAGGAAAAAATGCGGGAAATGAGGAAAAACATAAGAAAAATGGGGAAAAAAGCGGGAAAATGTGGGGAAAAGGGGAGAAATTTGGAAAAGTGGGGGAAAGTGAGGAAAAAATGGAAAAAAATGGGGAAAAATGGGGAAAAATGAGAAGAAGGTGGGGGAAGGGAAGGGCCCAGGGATGGGATTTGGGATTGGATTTGGGATTTGGGATTTGGGATTCAGGGTGGGGTTGGGGATTGGATTTGGGACTGGATTTGGGATTTGGAATTGGATTTGGGATTTGGGATGAGATTAGGGATGGGGTTGGNCTGGGGATGGGATTTGGGATCTGGGATTGGATTTGGGATCTGGGATTGGATTTGGGACTGGATTTACGATTTGGGATGGGATTTGGGATTGGGATTTGGGATTGGGATTTGGGATTGGGATTTGGGATGGGATTTGGGATCTGGGATTGGATTTGGGATGGGATTTGGGATTCAGGATGGGGTTGGGGACTGGATTTGGGATTGGATTTGGGATGTGGGATTGGATTTGGGATTGGATTTGGGATTGGATTTGGGATTTGGGATTGGATTTGGGATTCAGGATGGGATTTGGGATTTGGGAAGAGCCGAGCTCGGGAATTCCCGGCTCCAGCCCAAAGCCGCTCCCAAATTCCGGAATCCTCGGGGGCGGGAAGGGGGTGAGGGGGAAGGGGATGGGAGGATCCCACATTCCCAAATTCCCGCGTTTCCCGGGAATCTCGGGATCCCAGCACGCACCAGACGTCCTCGGGCCAGCCGTACTTGATCAGGTCCTCGTCTGCGGAACGGCAGCGCCGTCGGCAACGCCCCGAATTCCCAAAATTCCCAAATTCCCAGAGCCCAAAATTCCCAAATCCCAGAGTTCCCAAATCCCAGAGTTCCTAAATCCCAACATTCCCAAATTCCCAATTCCCAAATCCCAGAGTTCCCAAAATTCCCAATCCCCAAATTCCCAAATCCCCAATCCCGGCTTTCCCAGCCCCAAATCCCGGGATTTTCATCTCCAATTCCCAAATCCGGGGATTCCAAGACCCAATTCCCACCCCCAACCCCAAATCCCGGGATTCCCATCCCCAAATCCTGGGAATTCTTGCCCCAAATCCCAGGATTTCTAACCCAACCCCAAATCCCAGAATTCCCATCCCAATTCCCACCTCCTGTCCCCAAATCCCTGGAATTCCAGCTCTAAATCCCGGAATTCCCAACCCCAAATCCCAGAATTCCCACCCCAACCCCAAATCCTGGGAATTCCTGACCCAAATCCCGGGAATTCCATCCCAAATTCCCACCCCAACCCCAAATCCTGGGAATTCCCAAATCCCGGAATTCCCAGCCAGATCCAATCCCTGGGCACCGCTCTGGAAAGAGCCGGAAAAGATTCCCAAAATTCCCCAAAGGGGCCGGAAATCCGGGAATTCTGCCCGGGAAAAGGGAATTTTTCCCTCCCCTAAACCCGGGAACATCCAAAGAAATCCCAAAAAACCACAGGAAGGGGGGTGGGGAGGGAAATGTGGGATATTCCCAAGGAAATCCTGGAATTCCCGGCCCCCGAAATTCCCAGAATTCCCAAAATTCCCGGAATTCCCGGCACTCACTCTCGTACTTGTCCTTGCCCATGTAGATGGTGTAGGCGGCGGGAGCGGCTGGAAAACCGGGAATGCCGGGGTCAGAATCCATGGAATTCCTGGAATTCCCGGGAAATTCCCGCTTTTCCCTCCTGGGAGGGACGAAGGAATTTTTTTTCCCGGGTTTTTTTGTGGGGGAGGGGTTTTCAATATTCCCAACTGGAATTCCCGAAATTCCCAAAAAATCCTCCGAGCTTTTCCCGATCCGCGGCGCGAATCCCGGGAATCCGGCAGAGGAAAATCCCGAAAATTCTTGGTGGGAAAATGGGAATTGGCGGGAATTTCAAACATTCCTGGATGGGGAGGGAAAATCCGGGAAAAATTGGGAAAAATCTTGGAAAAATCTGGGAAAAACCTGGGAATAATCTGGGAAAAATTCGGGGAAAATTCGTGGAAAATCCGGGAAAAATCTGGGAAAAATCCAGGAAAATCTGGGAAAATTCCGGGGAAATTCCAGGAAAAATCTGGGAAAATTCTGGGAAAATCAGGGAAAATTGGGGAAAATTCTGCGAATAATCCAGGAAAAATCTGGGAAAATCCGTGAATAATCGGGGAAAATCCGGGAAAAATTCAGGGAAAATCTGGGAAAAATCCAGGAAAAATCTGGGAAAATTCTGGGAAAAAACTGGGAAAAATCCGGGAAAAATCTGCGGAAAATCGGGGAAAAATCTGGGAAAAATCCAGGAAAAACTGGGGAAAAACTGGGGAAATTCCAGGAAAAATCCGGGAAAAATTTATGAAATTCCGGGAAAAATTCGGGTAAAATATGTGAAAATCCGGGAAAAAAAACCCTGGAAAAGCTGAACTCAGAATGGGAAGGGAAATTCCCAAGTTTTTAGGGAGTTATTCCCGGTTTTTCCGCTCCCGGCGATTCCAGGGAATTCCCGCAGCGCCCCCCTCTGGAAAAGGAAAATTCCCGTCGGGAATTCCCAGGGTTTGGTTCGTCCGGAATCCATGGGAATTCTCCTCCCTCGGGAATTCCGACTCCGCCGATTAAAGGGGAGGAAAATAAAAAAAAAAAAAAACGGGAAAAGAAATTCTCGCGGGTGGGAAAATTACCGAGGGGAAAAAAAAATCCAGGAAAAGGAGAAATCCCGGGAATTTGGGCTATTCCAAGGGCTGGGAGACTTTTCCAGAGGCTCTCCCGGGACAGCGGGAATTCGGGGAAAGGGAAGGGACGGAACCTTGGGAAGGAATTCCCAGAGAATTTCAGGGATCGGGGAATTCCCGAGTTTTCCCCTCAGGATCCGCTCCCGGCTCCAGGGAATCCCGCGGCGCTCTCACCGTTGGAGGTGAAGTAAAACACCATAACTGCGGTGGGGTGTGCGCTGTGCTGATCCCGATTATCCCGATTATCCCGTTTTTCCTGCTTTTTTCCCGCTTTTTTCCCCGCTTTTTTCCCGTTTTTCCCGCTGTTCCCGGGCCCGTCCCGGGGCTTCGCCGCCTCCTCAGGCCTGGCCCGGCACCGCGCACGCGCGGGGCGCTGCGTGATGACGTCAGGGAACAACACGCACGCGCGGAGCGGAGGAAGCGCAACTGTTGGAGGGAACTGCGCATGCGTGGTGCCGCCATGATGTACGGCAATTAAAACTGCGTATGTGAGGGCCGCCATGATGTACGGCAAACAGAACTACGCATGCGCAGGGCGGCCATGTTGTACGGCAAAAGGAATTGCGCCTGTACGGGCCGCCATGATGCCGTACGGAACACGTAACTGCGCATGCGCACGACTGCCATGTACGGCAGCAGGAGCTGCGCATGCGCAGTGCGGCGGGGATTTGTCCCGCTTTTCCCTTTTACTCCGTTTTTTCCTTCCAGGCGTAATAAATAAATCAATCCAATTTCATCAACAACAATTTTTATTGCTAAACCTGCAAAAATAAATTTGGGGACAGCTACAATTAAAGGCAACGCCGGCTTGGGATCGGTGCTGGGTGAACCCTGACCCGGTCTCTGCCTCAGTTTCCAAACCTCGATTCCCTTAAGTTTATAAACTTTTTATTGAAATACCGAGTTTTATACACTCGTTTCGGCCTGAGGCCGTGCAGTCTCAGGTTTTTTTTCTCTGTGATTTGTTGTTCCATATTCAGAATTTAGCTGTTGAGCTGCTGATGGAGTTTCTGGGAAGGAGATCAGGTCTGAGGGGATTTTTCGGGAAGCAGCCTTTGAGATGTAGAATTTTTCTGAGATTTCTCCAGAAGTGGATGGAGTCCGAGTGGTTTATTTTCCTTTCGGGAGGCTGACATTGACATTCACGGTTAAACGAATCGTTAATGGCTCGTCTCACCTGAGAGGATTCGCCTCTATCCTGGCACCTCCTTTGTCATTTTGTGACCAGTTCTGAGCTCTCTGTCCTGTGGCGATCTTCTGGTTAATCAAGTTTTATGCCTTGTACTCGACTTATCTGTGCATTATACACGCGAATTATATAAAAAATACACTTATTACAACTGTTTCCTCTTTTCCCTTCCCTTTTCCTCTCTCCCCTTCCCCTTTTCCTTGTTTTTTCTTTCTTTTCTCTTTCCCCTTTCCTCCTTTTTCGGCCCCTTTCATTTCAACCCTTTTCCTTCTTTTTCCGTTTCCCTCTCCTCTTTCTTTTTATCTTCCCTTCCCTCACCCCCCATTTCTGTCTCTTTCCCTCTTTTCCCATCCCCGCCTCGCTTCTCTTTCCTTTCCCCGCCCGGATCCCCGGCAGTGCCCAAGGCCAGGCTAGACGGAGATAGTGGAAAGGATCCCAGCCCACTGCAGCGTGCCGATGCCTTAATTAACATCAAAATCCTTAATTAGCGCCTCATTAACCGCCCGTTAACTCTCAGCTCCTCCAATTCCCACCTTCCCCTCAGAATCTCCCGCGCGCGGGACGGGCGGCGCTGAGACTACAACTCCCATCAGCCCCCGCGCGCCGCACGGGGCGGAAGCACCTCTCTAGTCTCGCAGGGAACGCTGGGAGTTGCAGTCTAATCGCGGGCCCGCGCGGCGAGCCGCTCTCTCTGATTGGCTGCTAAGCCGGAGGGGCGGGTCCAACGCGGAGCCGCGCGGTGTTTGACCAATGGCGGGTGAGTACCTGTGATTGACGCGAGGCTCAGCCAATAAAGGCGCAGGGCGGGCGGTTCGAAGGCGCGCGGCTGAAGGCGGGAAGCGACCATGGCGGAGGTGGCGCTGAGGTGAGGGAGCCGCTCTGAGGAGGGATTTGGGGAGGCTCTGAGGGGGCTCTGAGGGGGGATTTAGGGTGACTCTGAAGGAGCTGTGAGTGAGCTCTGAAGGCTCTGAGTGAGGATTTTGGGAGGCTCTGAGAGAGCTCCGCAGACTCTGAGGGAGCTCCGAGGCGGCTCCGAGTGGGGATTTCAGGGGGCTCTGAGTGAGGGGTTTGGTGAGGCTCCGAGTGCGCTCTGAGGGAGCTCTGGGGGCTCTGAGTGAGGATTTGAGGGGGCTCCGAAGACTCTGAAAGAGCTCTGGGGGAGATCCACGGGCTCTGAGTGGGGATTTGGGGAGGCTCCGAGGGAACTCTGCGGGTTCTGGGGGAGCTCCGAGGGCTCTGAATTTGGGTTCGGGGAAGCTCCGAAGAAGCTCCGAGCGTTCTGAGGGAGCTCCGAGGGGCTCTGCAGGCTCCAAGGGGGCTCTGAGCGGGGATTTGGGGGATGCTTTGGGGAGCTCCACGGGGTCTGAGTGGGGATTTGGGGAGGCTCCGAGGGAACTCTGCGGGTTCTGGGGGAGCTCCGAGTGAGCTCCGAGGACTCTGAATTGGGGTTTGGGGAGGCTCTGAAGAAGCTCTGAGGGAGTTCCGAGGCGGCTCCGCGGGCTCTGAGTGGGGGTCTGGGCAGGTTCCGAGGGTGCTCCGAGGTCTCTGGGGGAGCTCCGAGGGGGCTCTGAGGGTTGAGTGGGGATTTGGGGAGGCTCCGAGAGGGTTCTGAGGGAGCTCCCAGGACTCTGGGGGAGCTCCGAGAGGACTCTGAGGGAGCTCTTGGGGAGCTCCGAGGGTTCTGAGGGAGCTCCGAGAGGGTTCTGGGGGAGCTTCGAGGATTCTGGGGGAGCTCCGAGAGGGTTCTGAGGGAGCTCCCAGGATTCTGGGGGAGCTCCGAGAGGACTCTGAGGGAGCTCTTGGGGAGCTCCCAGGGTTCTGAGGGAGCTCCAGGGGGGCTCCGAGAGGTCTCTGGGGGAGCTCCGAGGTCTCTGGGGGGGCTCCTCGGGCTCCGGGAGCTCTCTGGGGCCTCTGAGCGGGTTTTGGGGTGGCTGCGGTGAAGCCCTGAGGGGATGGGAGGAGTTGGGAAACCCCCCATGGATCCCACGGGAATTCCATCCCAAAAAAATCAGAGGGACCTCACGGGAATTCCATCCCAAAAGATTTGGGAACCCCACAGAATTCAATCCCAAAAATCAGTGGGATCCCTCAGAATTCCATCCCAAAAGATTTGGGAACCCCACAGAATTCAATCCCAGAAGGTTTGGAAAACTCCTGGGAATTCCATGCCAAAAATCAGAGGGATCCCTCAGAATTCCATCCCGAAAGGTTTGGGAACCCCACAGAATTCCCTCTCGAAAAGTTTGGGAATGCCCCAGGAATTCCATCCGGAAAGGTTTGGGAACCCCAGGGGAATTCCTTCCCATGGAATTCCAATCCCAAAGGATTTGGGGATCCCACGGAACCCAATCCCAAAGATTTGGGGCAGCCATGGAATAAAAAACAAACCCCAAAAGGTTCTGGGCCAGCAGAGATCCCAAAGGTTTGGAAATCCCGGGAAAAAATCCCAAAGGATTTGGGGATCCCACGGAAACCCCAAGAATTTGGGAGGCCCCCCCAAAGATTGCCAAAAAAGTTGGGAAGCCCGGAAGGATTTGGGATCCCCCTGGGAGCTGTGGATGGAATTCCCGAGGGAGCCGCTCCCGGCTGGGGGGGGAGGGGTTTGTGCTCGGGATTTGGGAATTTTTGGGATCAGGAATAATTCCCAGGGCTGGAAAAATCCTGGGATGGAGGGATGGGATTTATGGGATTTCTGGGAATGAATGGAATATCTGGGATTCCCTGGATTTAAAGGGATTTATGGGATGGAACGGAAATCCTGGGAATTTATGGGATTCCGGGCTTTAAGGGCCCAGAAAGTGGGATTTATGGAATTAATGGGGATTCTTGGGATTTCTGGGAATGACTGGGTATTATTGAGATGGCTGGGAATGCTGGGAATTTTTGGGAATTATTGAGATTTTTGGGAATTAATGAATTCTTGGGATTTCTGGGAATTAATGGGAATTTTTGGGAATGACTGGGATTTCTGGGAATGGCTGTGATTCCTGGGATTGCAGCTGGAATTCCCAGGGGAAGGGCGGGAGTTTGGCTCGGCCGATCCCTGGAATCTCCATCCCGGCATTCCCGGGGTTTTATTCCCGGTTTTCCCCTTCCCTGTCCCCTCCCTTTTCCCTGCTCCTCCTGGCCTTTTCCCCTGGAATTCCATCCCAATTCCCACCTGGAAAAACCCCTGGAATTGCAGGAGCTGCGGAGATGCGGGAACGCCCCGGAAACGGAGCCGGGATCCCAACGGGTGAGATCCCAAAAATCCCCAAAAGCTGGGAATTCCGGCCTGGGGGATCCCAGCCCCACCCCCCACCGGGACATTCCAGGGATTCTCTGGGAATTCCGGCTCTCCCGGAGCCCCCTCGGGAAGAGGCTCCTGGGATTCCCTGGATCCTGGAATTCCCGGAATTCCCGCTCCTGGAATGATTGGGAATTCCCTGCCTGTGCAGTGGGATCATCCCAGGAATTCCAGGAATTCCGGACGATTCCCAACCCGGAACGGAGAATTCCAGAGGGAGAACGGCGATCCGGAATTCCGGGATGGGATCCCCAAAATCCGGGAATTCAGGGCCTTTCCCAAGATTGGGGAATCTTCAGAATCCCCAGAATCCCTTGGGAAAATTCCTTGCAGAATTCCCGGGATCTCATTCCCATTTTTTTTTTCCAGCTCCTCCTGCTGGGAATTCCGGACCCCGGAGCGCAAACGGCTCCGAGCCCTTCCCGAATCCCCGGCCCAGAATTCCCGCCAGGAAAACCGGGAGGAGGAGGAGGAGGAGGAAGCTTTTCCCGGGAAATCGGCGCGTTCCCTGAGATTGGACATCCCGGCGGGAAATCCGGGAATTCCCGGGAATTCCCAGCCCAGCTCTGCCTCTTCCCACAATTCCCAACTTCCCGTGGGGGCTTTTTATGGGAAAAGGATTTACCTGGATCCTCTGCAGAGGAAACGGCTCCGGGAGCTGCTGGGAGACGGCAGCGGCCCGGAAAAACCCGGGAATTCCGGGAATCCCAGCAGGAATTCTGGCAGGAATTCCGGGAATCCCGGCAGGAATTCCAGCGGGAATCGCAGCTCCAAAAGCAAACCCAATCCCAAGGCCCGGCGGGAGATTCCCAAAGGGAAAAGCAGCGGGAACGCCGGGAATTCCCGGAGTTCCGAGGCTGGGAGTTCCCAGAATTCCCGGATTTCCCAGAATTCCCAGATTTCCCGGCATTCCGAGCGATTCCGGGTGCTGAGCGCGGGCGTGCGGCCGCCGCTGCGGCTCCCGCTGGGCTCCGCCTTCTTCCTGAGCAGGAAGAGATCCCGGAAAAACCCCGGGAATTCTTCCGGGAAAAGCTTGGGAGACTCCGGAGCCGCCTCCAGGGATCCTTCGGAAAAAGCGGGAAAGGCGGAAAAAGCGGGAGAGGAAAGCGCGGGAAGGATTCCGGAGGCTCGGGAAGAGGAGAAGGAAAACCGGGAATGCTCCGGAGAGGCGGGAACGGCCGGGAACGGCGGCCGGAATTCCGAGGGGAAGGAGGTGAGAGCGGGGATTGGGGAGAATTCCAGGGAATTCCCGGATTCCACCCTCGGGAAGGGCTCGGAGGGACCCAGAGCGGGAATTTCGGGAATTCCGGGGAGGTTCCTTTGGGGATTCCCTTGGGATTTTCCTTTGGGTTTTCTGGGGGAATTCTTGGGAATTCCTTGGGAATTCTTGGGGGGGGGATTTCCTTTGGGATTTTCCTTTGGAATTCCGAGGGGATTCCTTGGGGGATTCCTTGGGATCCCTCTTGGGATTTTCTTGGGAATTCCTTTGGGATTTTTGGGGGGATTCCCTTGGGATTCCCAGGGGATTCCTTGGGAATTTTGGGGGGATTTCCCTTTCCTTTGGGATATTTTTCCAAGGGCTCCTGATTTTCCCTGGGAAAAGCTGGGATTGGAATTCCAGCTCCTCTTTTCCCACTCTTTTCCCCCAGCTGGGATCAAGGCACCGAATTCCCGCTGAGTTTTGTGGGATCCGGGAGCCAAATCCTGGGAAAAAACAAAAACCAACCCAGAAAAAACTCCTGGAATTCCCCAATCCGACTTTTCCAAGGGCTTTCCCGATTTCTTGGAGCCAATTCCAGGTTTTCCCGATTTTTCTGCGTCCCAGCCCAGGGAATTTGGGATCTGCTGGAGCCAAAGTCGCCCAAATTCCAGGATTTTTCTTGGGAATTGTGCCTGGAATTCCTTCCCGCTCCCAATTCCGGCTCTCCCAGAGCCCCTTTCTCCCTTGGAAAGGGCTCTGGGAATTCCTGGGATTGGGGGAATTCTCTGGGAATTCCAGGGCTCTGGGAAGGGAACCCCAAATTCCAGAGAAATCCTCGGGATGCGAGGAATTCCGGAATGTTCCGGGCGGGATCCATGGCTTTCCCATCCCGTTCCCGACATTCCCAAATCCCGGGACGTTCCTTCGGGCGCTTCCCGGGCTGGAGCAGGCCCGGAATTCCTGGGAAATCCATGGAAAAAAACCCTGGAATTTCCCTCCGCAGGAAGCCCCTGGAATTCCTCCCTCTCCCAGCCCGGATTCCCGGGATTCCCCCGGCCCCAGGAAGGAACCGGGTGAGTCGGGGAAAACCTCGGGAATTCTTTCCCAGCTTCCAAAGCAGCGCCGGATTCCCGGGATTCCAGCCGGGATTCCCGGGCTGGCACCGCGCCTTCCCGCTTTTCCTGAGGAATTCCCGGTTTTTTCCAGGCTCTCCGTGCCCGGCCGGGCTCTTCCCCATCTTCCTTCCCGCCCGGAAGAGGTGAGAGAGATCCCATTCCCGCTTTTCCAGAGGGGGGGAAAGCCCGGGAATCCCGGGAATTCCCAAATCCCGGAATTCCGCTGCCTCCACCCCTTGGAATTCCCGGGTTTTTCCCTCCAGATTTCCTGGGAATTCTCTGTCCCGGGAATCCTCTCTCTCTTCCCTGCTCAATCCCTGCCTGCATTCCCAGCTTTTCCCAGTTTTTCCCAAATTTCCCAGTTTTTATCCCCTTTTTTTCCCACTTTTCCCCCTGCTTTTCCCATTTTCCCAGCTTTTCCCCAATTTTCCTGCTGTTTTTCCCTTTTTTTCCCAATTCTCCCCGGCCTCTCACAATTTTTCCCAGGTTTTTTCCCAGTTTCTCCCATTTTTTCCCACTTTTTCCCATTTTTCCCACCCTTTCCCAGTTTTTTCCCGCTTCTGTTTTTCCCACTTTTCCCCCTGCTTTTCCCAGGATTTTCCTGGTTTTTTTCCCATTTTTTCCCAACTTTCCCCAATTCTTTCCAGGATTTTCCTGCTCTTCCCACTCTCCCCCTTTCTTTTCCAGCTTCTCCCAGGTTTTCTCTGGTTTTTTTCCCATTACTCCCTTTTTTCCCCAACTTTCCCCAATTCTTTCCAGGATTTTCCTGCTCTTCCCACTCTCCCCCTTTCTTTTCCAGCTTCTCCCAGGTTTTCTCTTTTCCCCTGATTTTTCCCATTTCTCCCTTTTTCCCCCCAGTTTTTCCCCTGCTTTTCCCCATTTTTTCCCACTTTTTCCCAGGTTTTCCCCATCTTTCCCAGATTTTTTTCCTGCTTCTCCCTTTTCCCGGGATTTTCCTGGTGTTTCCCCTGGGTTTTCCCAGTTTTTTCCCCCCAGTCATTCCCAGTCTTTCCCATTTTTCCCGTTTTTCCCCAGGCCCCTGCAGGAGCTCCCGGCTCCCCTCAGCCCCTCCGGAAAAGCTCCCAGGAGATCCAAGGAATCCTCGCGGCATTCCCGGGATCAGATGATCATTGTGAGCTTCCCGGCGGGAATTGCGGGAGGGGGTTGGGAATTCTGGGAGCTTTGGGATCCTTCCCGGTTTTTTTGGGATCGTTCCTGGTCTCCTGGGGGAGGGGGAAATTCCCGAAATCCCTTCCCAAATTCCCGATTCCCTTCCCTGAGGGCATCCCGAGGAGTCCTGGAATGCCGAGCCCTTCCCTGGATCCCGAATTCCCGTCCCACATTCCCGTCCCTTTCCCCCTTTCCTGGTATTCCCAGATTTCCCTCCCCACATTTCCATTTATCCCAGCATGCCCTCCCTACATTCCCAAGCCTTTCCCTCAATCCCTGTCCCTGGCATTCCCGATGTTTCCCCAGCATTCCCAGAATTCCCATCCCCCTTCCGGCTGGTTCCCGGTGCCGTTCCCGTTATTCCCGTGGCTGTTCCGCCTCTTTCCCGTTGTTCCCATTCCCGCTGTTGTTATTCCCAGTTGTTTTCCCACTGTCATTCCCGTTGTTCCCGTTATTCCTGTTCCCATTCCTGCTGTCATTCCCCATTGTTCCCATTCCCACTGTCATTCCCGTTATTCCCGCTCCCATTGTTCCCACTTCCATTGTTGTCATTCCCGTTCTGTTGTTCCCGTTGTTCCCGTTCCCGTTGTCGTTCCCATTGTTATTCCTGCTCCCATTGTTCCCATTATTCCCATTGTTCCCATTCCCTCGGTGGTTGTTCCTGGTGGATTTTCCCGTCGGTGATACCTTCCCATGGGTGGTTCCTGTGGGTCATTCCCGGTGTGTGATCCGTGGTCATTCCCGGTGTGTGATTGGTTATTCCCGGTGTGCGATCCGTCATTCCCGTGGGTGATCCCTCATTCCTGGTGTGTCGGCGATCCGTTCTCATTCCCAGTGTGCGGTGTGTGTGTGATCCGTGGTCATTCCCGGTGTTTCTGTGATCCGTGGTCATTCCCGGTGTGTGATCCGTGATCCATTCCCGGTGTTTCTGTGATCCGTGGTCATTCCTGGTGTGTGATCCGTGATCCGTCATTCCCGGTGTTTGTGTGATCCACGGTCATTCCCGGTGTGTGATCCATTGTCATTCCTGGTGTGTGATCCATGGTCATTCCTGGTGGTTTGTCAGTGATCCATTGTCGTTCCCAGTGTGCTGATCCATGGTCATTCCCGGTGTGTGATCCATTGTCGTTCTCAGTGGTTTGTCAGTGATCCGTGGTCATTCCCGGTGTGTGATCTGTGGTCATTCCCGGTGTTGTGTCAGTGATCCCTGGTCATTCCCAGTGTGTGATCCATTGTCATTCCCGGTGTTTGTGTGATCCATGGTCATTCCTGTTTGTGTGATCCATGGTCATTCCTGGTGTGTGATCCATTGTCATTTCCCGGTGCAATGATCCGTGGTCATTCCCGGTGTTTCTGTGATCCGTGGTCATTCCCAGTTGGTGTGTGCTGATCCACGCTCCATGCTCTGTGATTTCTATGGGTGATCCGTGGTCATTCCCGGTGTTCCGATCCCTGCTCATTCCCGGTGCTCCGATCCCTGCTCATTCCCGATGTTTGTGTGATCCCTGGTCATTCCCGGTGTTCCGATCCCTGCTCATTCCCGGTGTTTGTGATCCCTGCTCATTCCCGGTGTTCAGATCCCTGCTCATTCCCAGTGTTCTGATCCCTGCTCATTCCCGGTGTTTCTGTGATCCCTGCTCATTCCCGGTGTTCCCATCCCTGCTCGTTCCCGGTGTTTGTGATCCCTGCTCATTCCCGGTGTTTGTGATCCCTGCTCATTCCCGGTGTTTATGATCCCTGCTCATTCCCGGTGTTTGTGTGCTCCCTGCTCATTCCCGGTGTTTGTGTGCTCCCTGCTCATTCCCGGTGTTTGTGTGATCCCTGCTCATTCCCGGTGTTCTGATCCCTGCTCATTCCCGGTGTTCTGATCCCTGCTCATTCCCGGTGTTTGTGATCCCTGCTCATTCCCGGTGTTTGTGTGATCCCTGCTCATTCCCGGTGTTCCGATCCCTGCTCATTCCCAGTGTTCTGATCCCTGCTCATTCCCGGTGTTTGTGTGATCCCTGCTCATTCCCGGTGTTTGTGATCCCTGCTCATTCCCGGTGTTTCTGTGCTCCCTGCTCATTCCCGGTGTTCTGATCCCTGCTCATTCCCGGTGTTCCGATCCCTGCACATTCCCGGTATTTCTGTGATCCCTGCTCATTCCCGGTGTTTCTGTGATCCCTGCTCATTCCCGGTGTTTGTGATCCCTGCTCATTCCCGGTGTTCAGATCCCTGCTCATTCCCAGTGTTCTGATCCCTGCTCATTCCCGGTGTTTCTGTGATCCCTGCTCATTCCCGGTGTTTGTGATCCCTGCTCATTCCCGGTGTTCCGCTCCGTGCCGACGCTCGGTGTTTTTCCGCCGTCGTTCCCAGGACGCGGGGCAGCGTTCCCTGTCCCCGGAGCGCTGCGGATCCTGCGGGATGCTCTTCTCCCCCGCCCTGCCCGAGGATCGGCTCCAGCACCTGCGGCACCACCGCAGCCTCCGGCAGAGACCGCGGTTCCCGGTCAGTGACGGGATGGGAATGATGGGATAAATAACACCGGGAATGGGGGAATAACAATGGGAATGGGAACGGCAGAGACCGCGGTTCCCGGTCAGTGACGGGATGGGAATGATGGGAGTAACACCGGGAATGGGGGAATAACAATGGGAATGGGAATGGCAGAGACCGCAATTCCCGGTCAGCGACAGGGGGAATGATGGGAATAACACCGGGAATGGGGGAATAACAATGGGAATGGGAATGGCAGAGACCGCGGTCGGGAATGGGGGAATAACAATGGGAATGGGAATGGCAGAGACCGCGGTTCCCAGTCAGTGACAGGAATGATGGGATAAATAACACCGGGAATGGGGAAATAACAATTGGGAATGGGAACGGCAGAGACAGCGGTTCTCGGTCAGCGACAGGGGGAATGATGGGAATAACAACAGTGGGAATAACACTGGGAATGGGGGAATAACAATGGGAATGGGAACGGCAGAGACCCCGATTCCCGGTCAGTGACGGGAATGATGGGATAAATAACACCGGGAATAATAGTGGGAATGGGAACAGGAATAACAATGGGAATGGGAACAGCAGAGACCCCGATTCCCGGTCAGTGACGGGAATGATGGGATAAATAACACCGGGAATAACACCGGGAATGGGGGAATAACAATGGGAATGGGAACGGCAGAGACCGTGGTTCCCAGTCAGTGACAGGGGGAATGATGGGAATAACACCGGGAATGGGGGAATAACAATGGGAATGGGAACGGCAGAGACCGCGGTTCCCGGTCAGTGACGGGATGGGAATGATGGGAGTAACACCGGGAATGGGGGAATAACAATGGGAATGGGAATGGCAGAGACCGCAATTCCCGGTCAGCGACAGGGGGAATGATGGGAATAACACCGGGAATGGGGGAATAACAATGGGAATGGGAATGGCAGAGACCGCGGTTCCCAGTCAGTGACAGGAATGATGGGATAAATAACACCGGGAATGGGGAAATAACAATTGGGAATGGGAACGGCAGAGACAGCGGTTCTCGGTCAGCGACAGGGGGAATGATGGGAATAACAACAGTGGGAATAACACTGGGAATGGGGGAATAACAATGGGAATGGGAACGGCAGAGACCCCGATTCCCGGTCAGTGACAGGATGGGAATGACAGCGGGAATAACAACAGCGGGAATGGGGGAATAACAATGGGAATGGGAACGGCAGAGACCCCGGTTCCCGGTCAGTGACGGGATGGGAATGATGGGAATAACAC